TTAACACGTTAATTGGTAGGGAAAAAGTTTACGAATAATTAATTTGGATATATTGAATTTAGTATAGTATATAATTAATTTTATTTTTTTTTTTTTTACTAAGATTGCGGTGGATATATTATTATTTTTTTATGATAATTTCTGTTATTTGATTCTAATTTAAAAATTATTTGTTTGCGATAATAAAATCATTAATATGTTTAGGGTTAATTGAAGTATTATTATATCCTATTTTCTTTATATTAAATTTTCTAATAGAACATCTTATTTGTTCTAAAACAATACATTTAACAAGTTATTAAAAAAAAATTTGTTTTTATATTTTTAGTTCACTAAACATCATCTGCTTTGTGGAGGAATTAATTTTGCACAGTTTATTAGGTTTTTAAATTGCTATTTTATAGTTATTTGGACATTGAAACAAATTAAGTGTTTTGAAATTTATGCTAATGTTAAAAAAGGACTTAAATATTGAATTTATTATGATTAGTGTTTATCAATATATCATCTTAAAAAGGAAATTTTTTACCATTATTAAGTTCAACGTTATATATTTAACGACATAATTATTTTGGAATTGTTTCTGGAGTTGATATATTCCATCCATATTTTTAACACCGTTAAGGAATCATCGACACATTTTAGGTAGATGGAAGGTTTTAAGTTTATTAGATATATTATTTCAAGACAAGACATATAGAAATTACTAAACGTTGGGCCCAGAACTGAACCCATAGGAACACCATCCTATGTATATATATATATACCATTAGCAAACTATTAATATTATTATTAGAATGTATACAAAACCATCTCTAACCCACTTAAAATTAAACCATTGTATTACAGGAAACTACTTAAATTGCACTACTAAAGTCCCATTCTACGATCGCAAAAATAATATCACTGTAAAATTGGATGTTGTTTCATATATTCAGATTCACAACTGCGTTCAAGGTCAGATCTAATAACGGTTTCTGAGATAGAGGTTCGAACACACCGGAAAAATCCTAATTTTCTCGAATACCAAATAAATTTCTTAAAACTTAATATATATATATATATATATATATATATATATATGTATGATGTATATATAAAAAAAAAAACAGTAAGATATATAATCCGGTTTGTTCTTATAGATATTTTTATTTTTCAAAATAGTGCCTTGCAATGTAAATTTACAGAGCATTAATATTATAAATTAATCTTTGCCGTTAATAGTAAATTTTTTTTTTTCAGACGACATGCATTTAACGATGTTAGATTTCATTGAAAAACACATCCATACCCCTCGAACCGTAACAAATGATATATATATATATATATATATATATATATATATGGTATATATATATATATATATTAATAGTGAATGTTACCTTGGTGAATTATATTTTAGCTATATATATATACATTTACAATATATATATATGTATAATAATGTCCAGGACAGAGTAAGAATATAATATAAATATATACTAATATATATGGTTATAATTTATTACATATATATACCCAGTTCGTCATATGGTGTTAAAAAAGAATATTAGTCTTGAGTTTATATATATATTGTCAACTCAATATGTATAAACATGCATTTAATTTCTTTTATATATTTTATTTATATATATATATATATATATATATATTTATTTATATATATATATATATATATTTTATTATATATATATATATATAATGATTTGGCAGTTTTGGTAGTAATTATTTCATGGAAAGTTTCGTCGATGAACTGGCGTCAGAAGAAAATAATTTTATTTCACAAAACGATCTGATATTTTTTTTTCTTTTTACGTGATCCCGCTTAATGCTTGTTTTTGCATGAAATAGAATTTCTTGCAACACTCTCTCGCCTGTTGAAATCCTCACAATAGTCATTTTTGTCGAGATTTGCAAACTCTACGTTTCATTCAATTTCGCAAATCAATCGATAGAATTTGATTGATCTTGGAATCTATAACTCGCCTCTCCGATTAAAAATTTCCTTGCCATTACACATTACACTACCCACACATCCAAGCTTAAAGCACCTGGCAGTCTCAAACGGTCACTCATCTCGTTACTGAGCAGGCTTGACGTTGCTTAACATCGGCGATTTTACGAGAACCTGAGTTTCAACGCGATATGACCGTAAGCCTGATGGCTGAACAGAGGAGTATAGTAAAACGACGAACATTGCTAAGAGTTACAATTGATAGGGATGTTGTGGAGAACAATGATTGCCCATGACACAGCATATATAAAACGTATATTTCTTTGATAGATCCCGAACACTGAAAACGATATCACAGAATATTATTAGTATAATACAGTAGGCAGTCTACCCATCAAGCACCACTGACCAGCATATATAAATAGTCGAGCCACAACACACATGGACTGAACACTTCGTTTAGGGATGAAACGGTCCTCTTTTATATTTACATACTCTTCATCCATAAATATAGTATACGTTAAAACTATATTTTTATCATATATGATCTTGGAATCTATATCTTGCTGAACTGATGTGTAATATCAAATTTCTGTAATTTACAGTTCTTTCTGTCAATGTCTATTCATCTTGTGTGTATCTTCTGAGAAATGTAGTTATCATCATTACTGATGTATTTCTTCATTTTTGAATTGCCGGCTTATATTCCTGAGTTCTACATCTGAATACCAACTTCCATCCAGAAACTGTTGTTTGCCCACCAAGCATTTAGCGTGTTATAAATAACGTTGTTGTCTTCTCCATATTCCAGACATTTTTTTTCATGTATCCACTTTGAAAGGCGTTCTATTCAGAACAGAAGTAAACCGCCATTGTTCCACCGTCTTTTTATTGGTCCATCAGCAGCAGCGGAACACGATTCTTACGGTAAGCCATCAAAAAGAATACCTATAAGAAAAGTAGCTAAGCGACGCAGGAGATCAACTGGATCCTTCCTGTTGGCTATCAAGAAAATACCTGCAGATCATGGCTCTTAAATATCTTATATCAGCTCTACATATATATATTATTAATATTTCCAAACAACAGAGTCGTGTTGCCAGAACACACCTAAAATATAATTTTCTATGATCCTATCACAACGTTTGTAATCCCCTACCGAGTCCTATCAATTTTCAGCAAATTAATTTCTGAGATTTAATGATGAGAAAGGCTAAATGTACACAGCAAGAAGTGTTTTACATCTTTAAATGTTTTTGCTTAAATTCTTATCCTTTCACGTGACTGAAACAATAGATATTTCCTTATTTTTACTAATAATGCAAGTTGATATTTTTATTTTTTTAAATTAATTAAAAGATCCGCAGAAAATATTTCTGTTCCGATTATTCCTCTCACCATCATCTCTTTTGCACATATAGGCCTTTGAAACTCTTCCATTCTGATACACACTGTTCTTTTGCAACTGTCACCGCTAAATCTCAAATCTTCACAAACTTCCATAGTAATATTGTCAGCTGGTGTTGTCTCAGACTCCACACTTCCTCGAATTTTCTTTTCCTGTGTGTATTTTATTATGGTCACTAATATAATCCTTATATGCCACTATGTTTTCAGCTCTCGGGTGAGATCCTGATATTTTTCATTTACTTTTTTTTTTTTTTCACATCGTAACTGTACAAATATTCACGCGAATAGCTAAAATGACAATTCCCCTTTTGTTAAATCATACTTTTTTTTAACTTTGATGAGACAATGAGTACATCTCTCAAAATCCTATTGTGTTTTCTTTACTAGGTTGACTTATTTCCCAGATTCATGCTTAAGGTTTAAGTTCTGTTTTGGAATATGGTTTTGGTATTTCTTATTCATCTACACCGTGTGTAGGCAGAAGCCTAATTTGATATATTAACTTTCTTGCTTACAACATCTAGATGTGGTCTCCTGGCCTGAATAAGAGCATTCGTTTGTATTTTCAAATTCTTAAAGTATTTTCTTAATTTCTCTGGCAGCTTTTGCTTCGTGTCCATTGCATTTGATTGCATCGATGGACAAAAGTTTTGTTTGCTATCCATTGTGTTTGTCGTAATATTGATTGGATGAATATGCTGCATTTACTTTGTTTGAGTCTTTGTTCTTAGCACATGCCATTATCTAGTCATTCCCAAAATACTTAGCAGATCACCATTTTTATTACACTGACAATATCATCTTACCACAGAGAAACTGAAGAAGTGCTGGTTTTAAAGAAATAAATGTTTTGTGTCGCTATTAAATTTCAGTTTCTCTTTTGAAATGCCCTCTTTTCAAAAAAAGTTCGTTGTTATGAATAATCAAGAGTGGTCTCCCCTTGTTTTGTTACTCTCCTGTTTGAAAGACCTATTTCTGTTTACTGGAACTATAAAAAGACACATACGCGAACCTTGTATTCTCAGTTGAATAAAACTTTCTTAAAGACTATACCTGCGTATTTTGTCATTACAATCGTATCATTTAATCTGCCATTACTGTGTTTGTTTACAAAATGAAACTTTTTGTTCGTTCAGTTTTTTTTGTTTTTTTTAACCTTCGATTTTTGCTTCATATTCTGAATGTCTTGAATCCTCTACTTCAACTACTGGCTTTGTAAATTGAAATTGAATTTTTCAAACATGACTCACCCGCCAGCCTTAAATGATTTAGGTTTGAATTGCTCAAGTATTCAAACTGTTTAAATATTTATCACAGAGCCGATACGAATAATCTGCTGGACATCATATTTTCAAGTTTGATTTGCAAGCAGAAACAAATATACATTTGGAATGTAAACTATTTACTGGTCTGTTGGTCATCAATCTCCTGTTGTTCTGGTAATAACATTTGATGACCCTTTAGCGCCCACGTTTGTTTCAACATAGAAGGGGAAGAGAAATGTTGAAACAAGCAATGCTTGTTGCAAGTTTGCTACGTCGAATTGGTCCCTAGGTGTCCTTATACCTGACCCTGTTCGTCGAACAAGAGATTTTTTTCCATATTCCAAAAATGAATCTTGCTTTTGGGGCGCGAAATGCAGACAAAAAACAAAAAAACTCCCCTCCGAATGACCTTCGCTTCCCGCTTATTACTCGTTTTTTCATTTCCGACGCATGTTTCATATTAGTATAGACCCCTGCTTAGTTAATTTGATTCAGTGAATCTTGTCCTGTTGTCGAATATGAGCGACGTGTACTATCTATCGTTTGGTTCGATGTCGCAAGCCTCTCACCGCTCTATCGCTATTTCCGTGGAAAGTGCTCAGACGAACTGAATTCCTTAGTTCCTCCAGTTCTAACCTTGACGGTTATGACCCCCCATGCTACGTACATCGTAGAGAATAACCCCATTCCATCGGTGAGAAGTAAGATCCACTCGAACAGCTTCTTCCCGCAAACTACCGACTCCCAAGAGGATGTTTTCTCGATGACTTCAATCTTAATCTGTTCGTCTAAAGTTAACCGTTATCTTCCCCATATACCTGCCCCTTACTCTGTAACCCTGTTCCTCGAGTGGCTCCCGAGCCTTGTACAGGTTGGGCATCACTATAAGTAATAATAATAAATTAAAAGACATATTAATTTAATTAAATGACTTCGATATCCTGAGATTCCTTTCAGTGAAGAGTTGTCAAATGTAACTGAAAGTAAATCTCAGTTTGTCTAATGAATGTTTCTTTTACTTCTAGACTTGTTATAATAGTTTAATTAACAATAATTCAAAGTTCGTTCAAGAGGTGACAGTAGTTCTGTGTATTTTTTAATTGCTTTTCGATTTTATTGCTTTCCCAGATAATTCGTTTTAAAATAATCCTCTTCAAGGTTATTAAAATTAGAATATTTCTTCTTCTATATTGACTGACACCAAGGCTAGAAAACCTATAGCGGTGGGAGAAGATACGATTTCATGTCTTTCTCAACGGATAAGGGAGAGATTTGAACTCGGCTCGCCGACTCTGTATTCAGCACCGATAACCGCTACTGAGAACCATTATTAAGCCAGTCATTTCATTCCGATTTCAAATAACTGTTTCTCATATGGAAGTGATTTTCAGCTGAATCGTTGTTAATGGTCACAAATTTCTTTAAATATTTCCATTTGTTTTTCTTTGCCCAACAAATTGCCAAGATTATGCCCGTGAAATAAAGAAAAACAACAAACCAGCCTTTCTCGATCAGTGATAAAGAAATCAATATGCCCGAGAAGAAAAAAACGATGTAAAGAAAGAAGAGTGTGAGAGCTAAAGGAGTCAGGGAATATATACTGCCACTATACAATGTAGTAGTATCTCCATATTTAGGCCAAAGATAGAAATCAACATGTTTCACGATAACATAACACATCATCCGAACTGTAAGAAGCTAAAACAGAAGAAAAGGTTTCCACGGATAGAACTGTAATAAAATCAGTCAATACTGGTATCTAAGAAAAAAAAAAACAGGAAAAACACGCCTGTAATATTCAGTGCCAAAAATGTCCCCCTACCCGCCCTTTGCAGACTAATCTAATAACGGTTCACTATCATAAATCATAGAGCAACCTCTGAGTTTTCTCAAGTTATGATGAGCCGTTGTATTCTCCAGGGTTGGTGTGGGGTGGGGGGGACTTAAGTAACAAACACTTTCTGATTTCAACTTGTCGGATCTGATGAGATAATTTATTTCTAATCATATGCTCCGATCCTAACGTATTTCCTTACACATTTTTGTCTTTCATTCTGACCTGAAGTCGACAACAATAAACGTCAGAGAAACGCGTTGTTTGTAAGCTTTTCCACTTTGTTTCATTATATATATATATATATATATATATATATATATACACACAAGAGAGAGAGAGGATGCGACATTATGTGAGAGGTATTTCTGCTGTACCTTCTATTTACGTGTATATATATATATATATATATATGGCTCAAACACTAATATTTAATGATTATAATTTATTACATTGAAATCGTAAACATGTCCCAATTGTTTGAGCCTTTTATATTATATTCTTGCTTTGTCTTTGATATTGAGCTCTACCTGGATTACGTCCTCTTGGATATATATATATATATATATATATATATAGTGTGTGTGTAATAAAAATATAAGAATTGTCACTTAGCTGATTGGTGTTACCTTCCGCATCTCGACTTCAGTGTTTCGTCGATGGACCCTCCAGCAATCACTCTGTCCACTCGCCAGGGCATGTCGGCTATATATATATATATATATATATATATATATATATATATATTATATGCCTTCAAACTTCTTACTCACCTCGCCCAACTAGTGCTGTTGAATATTTTAATTAGACTCAGATTTACATCGTTGTAATTTAAAAGCAGAGATAATATTTATATTTAAATCATCCGTGACAAGAACAGGAATTAGAAAGTTTGAAAATAAATTACACAGGCTAACATGACAATATTTATCATTATATTCCAATATAATAAAAGAATTAATGGCCAGCTTCTACAAGCGGAATAATTTGAAACGCTCACAGATATTCTGGAATGCAATGGCCAGGAAGTTTTTTTTTTTTTTTTTTTTTTTTTTTTTTTAAACTCTTAGAATTTACACGTTCACACACATAGAAAGGAACCTAAACAACTTACCGATTCCTACACTTTCGAAACGATTTTCAAATGTATACAAGATTCTATTGCTTACTCTGGAGAAATACCTGTTCTCGCCTCGGACGGATATGATCAATGTAGATAGATGTGGAAAAATCGTGAGTTACTGCAAAAGACCTTACGTTTAATAAGCCTTCGTCCCCGCCCTCTTACTGATAGACACGATTTTCGCTTGAGGCGGAAAAAGACCTCTTCTAACTCTACCCCGGCGTTGACGCTAAACGAACGGTCGGCCCTTTCGTCTGTTTTTTTTTTTTTTCTTTTTGGTTTTTGACTTTCTGTGAGCCGACCAAGTCGCTGTGTCAGTTACATATCCTCAGGCAAAAGGGGAGAAGGTTTTTTTTCTTCTTCTTCTTCTTGACGGAAACAATTTCTTATTCTTTTGGTAAGACGAGTTGTCGGCAGAACGGATACACTAAAACCTTTTATCTGGTAAGTGCACGACTCGACGGTTGGAAACCAATTTCTAATCAGAACCAATCAGTAGGAATATCAATCCGCTAAAAGGCAATTTCTATATATTTACTTATTCATATCTATCCGAGAATATTTTTTTTGCTTCGAATTTTTTATATAGTGGCGAGAGCGTTTTCGTTTCAAGCGAATCATTCACGCCATGAATAGTTTTAGAAATCTCTAAAACTACAAAATATCTCCAGGCTAAATGAGGGAAAAAAAGCGAAATTATTTCGCCATGTAGTTGCTATTAATTTTGCCAAAACCAAAGACATACCTGCCGGTCCTACTAAATTCTATTTATCTCAAATATAACTGTCATATATATATATATATATATATATATATATATATAAAATAATTAAGTTCTAATTTTTTTTTTTTTTCTTAAAAGATATTTCGACTGGTGTTTTTGTTGGTTAGTTTCAATTTATCACAGAGATTTGTAGAAGCCGAATAAAGTGACTGATTTTTTTTTTTTTTATTCGATTTTAAGTTTGGTGATACAGCCAAGAGCGGTGTGTAAAAACGTAATTCTGTTTCCAACCACTTGTATTTAAATTTAAATGTATGCTCAAGCTGTGTAGAAACTTAAGGTATTAATCGATTGAGGCTATTTGATTATGTTAACCAATGATTTGTTTTCTACAAGAAAACCCTAACAGCCATCGTAAATTCTCTGTCGCAATTTAGCATATAAAGGAAAAGAATTTAACACTTTAACTGCAACATTCTTCCTCGGGCTGTCTTATCTAAGTCCTTACCTATTTTATCTCTTATGCTGCTTCATAATTTTGTAAGGTTAGAAATCTAATCGAGGAAACAGTAGAAATTTAGATATTCCCTAGACATTCTACGAGGTTTACACTAGACTTGTTTTGGTGCAATGTCCCTTCAGGATTAGGACGGACATGATCCTCCGGAGATTTCTATATTTAGTCGACAAAAAAAGCAATGCTTTGTTTTCTTATTGTTCTTTTAAATCCTTTTTTGTATGCTATCCAATTGCACAAGCTTCCTTGACGTTTACTTCTGGTCCTCTTGCTTTCAGTATTTACTGGAAGTGTCGAATTCTCCAAGCCAGCTTTCCTAAACATTTCAACTTCCTTGTGATTCCAAGTACAAGTGTCTTTTATGTCTCATTTTTGTAAAAGCTATTCGTTGCTCACATTTTACGCCTGTGTTATTCCCAGCAACCTTCTGTAGAACCACATCTTTTTTGCTGCCAGTCTCCTCTGACTCTGCGAGGAAATTGTCCAGCATTGCATATGACATACAAGTTCAGCACTCTTTTCTTTTTTTAATGAAAATTTCCTGTTTCTTAATACTTTCTTTAGCTTTTAAAAGGTACCTTTTGATATTCCAATGTGCATTCGAACTTCTGTCCGCCGCCTTTTATAAAACAAGTTGAAAAGCTAAAATTCTGTATTAGCCGGGATGTGCAGGTGGTGTAATCGAAAAGTGAAATCAGAAATCCGAGTTCGAATTCCAATCGGGCTCGTTAGATTCACTTACACGTAAATACCGTTCGGAAAAAATGAATCCAGAGCCTTCCTCACTTCTGGGTTAAATAGGACTTCCTTCTGAAAGAAAAGCATTGTTATTGTCAAAAAAGTCAACGCAATATTCACTCATCCCCCCACCCAAAATTATTCATATAATCCGTAAAAACAAATCAATTTGTACTTGCTTGCGACGCCACCAACTTATTGCATTAATATATGCGCCATTTTTGTATATTTTTTTATGTATTCAGTAATCTTAAAAATGATGGACCTAATTTTTAGTTATGTTGAATTTAAATTTACTATAGGTATCGCGTTTATTTTCTGAGTATATCGTGTATGATCGGCCATACTTTCAAACATGGGCACGTTATGTAATATTTTATACACATATTTTTTTTTTTAATGTTGGATAAACGACTTTCATTGAGCTTTTCAGTAAATATAGTTTTCACTGAGAAAATATTGAGCTTTTCAGTAAATATAGTTTTCACTGAGAAACAATATCACCAAACCTGATTGAAATAATGCAAAATTTTAAACGATTTATAATAGCATAAATTATAATTAAACTAAAAAAATCAAAACAGTTCTTGTAAAAATTCACTATTCATTGAAAAAAACTTTTCCCTAAGATAATAGGTTCGTAATAAATTAAATAATGTCAGTTTTATCGCTTCTTTTTTTACCATTCAGAGCAGATTTTTGGTAACAGGGGCCCTGTTTTACAAAAAAAAAAAAATGATGATTTAAATCCTACTTATAACTAATCAAAAATTGGATTTGCGGTTTAATTTCTGCAAATTTCATTAAATTAAGTCGGGGTAACATATGTAAAGAAAAAATATTTTTACCAAAAGTTTCTAAAAAAAAAAATTTCACAAATAATTTCATTCAGTTGTGAATAAGTCCTGGAAGTTACATTATAATCCAACAATTATTTTATTTTTTGGAAGAATTTTCAAATCAATGTGTTTTTCACCTGAAAAAAATGTACTAAAACACTAATCGTAAATACTACGTTGATTGCTGAGGTAAAAAAAAAAAAAAAAACTTTGAACGTGCGAGCAAGGATTATTTTTTTTTAATAATTAAAAAATACTTTGGTCTTTCCTATTAATAATAACAAACATTATGACGATAAAATTTTGTTTTTATTAAATTTGAAGCCTTTTTTTATCACTGTCTGCTGTTTTTTCGGCAAACAGGTGGAGATACTTATAGAGATAGCATTAGTCGTTCCATAGCATTATTTACTGAACTATCTGTAGCTTATTCTCAAAGATTGAAATAATATGCTTGCAGTAGGGTGCCTTGTTAACTAACAATCTTGTTTAAGTGGTTGGCAATAACGGGGTTTAGGAGAGATATCAAAAAAAAACTTTACTAAAAGCTAGAGAAGACAGCCCACGTTCTGAAGAGAAACGGCTTAAAGTAGTAAATGGAAGAAATTCAAATTAGCATATTCATGAAAAGCGAAAGAGGTGAAGGACAGAAAAGAAAGCAAATGTTGGGAACGCGAGAGAAGGGAGATACAGATAGAGTAGAAGTTATAAAAGAGTGACAGATAGATAGTTGAGTTTGTAAAGCTGAATATTGTCGATGATCATGATTGGCCAGATGAAAATCAATGCACTCAAAATCCATTTGTGATTTCTAAGCGCTTGGTGCGCATTTTGTCAAAAACAAATCGTGAGTTTCCACCCATTCGGCCTCACTTGGTATCAAATTTCCTTCCAGGTAAGCGAAAATACCTCCTGTCCGTCATTATCAGTTCTGCAATACTCCCAACAGCCACCTCCGTTGCTTCTGCCACCTGCAATCTCGACTGTTCCTTCTCTTGACCAAATCTCTCTTGTTCTCCATCATTTCCCCTCTTTCACCATATATGTTATTTTCTTTTTTTTCTCCAAGTTTGAATTCTTCTCTCACTTTTTCTTTACCTTCTCTTGGGATCTTATTGCTTTCTTTCCTCCACTTTCCTTTTCCCAGTTTGAATTCTTCACCCGCTTTTTTACCTTTTCTAACGATCTTATTTTTTTTTCCTTTCTTTTCCTAGTTTGTATTCTCCTCTCATTTTGTTTTTACCTTCTGTCGCGATCTTATTGTCTTCTTTCCTCTCCTTTCAAATCCCAGTTTGAATTTTTCTCTTACTTTTTCTACCTCCTCTCGAGCTGTTATTACATTTTTCCTTTCCTTTTCTCTGTCTGAATTCTTCTTTCAATTCCGTTTCTTCTGCCACCTGAAATCTCGACTGTTCATTCCCTTGACCAAATCTCCCTTGTTCTCCATTATTTCTCCTCTTTCTTTTTATACGTTACTCTTCTTTCTTTCTCCCAATTTCAATTCTTCTCTCACTTTTTCCTTTCCTTTCCTTCTTCCAATTTGAATTCTTCTCTCACTTTTTCTACCTTCTCTCACGCTCTTAATACTGTTTTCCTTTCCTTCTCCCAGTTTAAATTTTTCTCGCTCTTTTTTTCCTTATTTTCCTCTCCATTTCTACTATTTCTTCCATCTCTCCTTTAATATTCTCTCTGTTTATCCTATATAACCATGCGCCGAACGTAACTTCCTTTATTCATTCAACTTTTCGCATTTTCTCCTCCTGCTCCTTTCTCTCCCTAATCATCTATATTCGTTCTACACACTTTTTATTCCACCCCTCTTTTACTGCCTTGATTTCTACATCCCCTATGCACTCTCAAATTTTCTCTTTTCTACCTCGTTTCCATTAGATTTTCGTTTCCTCGGGCTGTTTTCTCACTCTGTAAAAACAGCAGCAGCAGCATGGGCAGAAACAGAAGAGCCATGTTCTCTGGTCAAGTTCGCCCTGACTTTTTCGAACAAATCGTGTCTATCAGATTGCTTTTCCTGGCTTTACTATTTCGCTAGCTTTAACATCTTTGTACTGCCCCTGCGGTTAATTTTGCATGGAAACACAAGCATAAATTTCTCTCAAATAAGACATGCGTCGACGAGGGGGTGCTGAAAATTTCAGAAGATACCCAGTTCTCAAATCTGATCAGATGAGAAAACATCAGATTGTAATTTGGAACACCATGGTCGGACCAAGAACATTTCAGCAATACCTGTATGTGTATGTATATATATATATATATATATATATATATATATATATATATATATATATATATATATATTGAAAAAATAGTTGGTGGTGTGTGTTAATTATTGGTATAAGCATTGCAACATGGTGACTAACGTTTAACGCTTTAGTGAGATCATTAGATAGTGTCTTTATTCATAAAACAGGCACTATATATATGTCACTGGGGGAATTAATGAAACCACTAGATCGCTTATTTATAGTGATTTTCCAAGTATAGCTTAGATGTGGCACAAGGCCGAAATTATGTGGCACTCAGTGAGGTTTGAACTCACTCGTAATTGTTCTAGGGAGACAAGCTTGATAACCATTACACCTCATCAAGGTGCCCAGATTGCTTATTTATATATTAATTTTTTATTTAATTATATATGATTTCCACACTTTGTATGTGGTTTTCTACCGATATTGAATATACTTGCCCATAAATATACCAAATTTTAAACATATATACACACACACATATATATATATATATAGCTAATATTAGTGGTAAATATACACATACATATGCCAAATATATAAATATATATACATAGGTGCATACACATACATGCATATTTTTTGAATAAAAAATTCCAAGAGGATAGAATCCAGGTAGAACTCAATGTCCATGACAGCGTAAGGATAAAATAAAAAGGCTTAAACACTAATATTCCATGGTCATAATTTATTCCATTGGAATCGTAAATACGATCCAATTCATCAGACCTACAAATTCAAAAAAAAAAAAGAAAAAACAACTCCGGAAATAAAAAATATAATTTAGAGAGAGTGTAAGTATGAGAGTGTGGGACGAATGTTAGAGCTAAAGAGAGGGGTAACAGACGAGAGAAGATGAGAGATTAAACCTTAACAGAGAGAAGTTTTAGAGAGGTGAGTGGAAGAGGTTTAAGTGAGAGAAATATGAATGTTGTCGGATGTCTAATACATTAAAGATACATTTCGTGGTGACATACACATATCATAGACGATCTAATGTTAAAGATCAGAACAAGAGGGAGGGAGAGGAAAGGAAATGGGGTGGGGGAGAGAGATGGGGCGGGGGAAACTAAAACTGAAGGGGATTTACTGAAAGGGCCGCTGTGTAATTAAGAAAATTTGACAAAATTAATATCGACTACAGGCTACAAATCAAATATAAACATATCAAAAAAAAATATAACGATTATCTAATCTAGCAAAGACCTATATATTTATTTTGAGAGATTAATTATCAAGACATAAAAAACAAGAAAAATCTTAGTTTAGTCTAAGAAAGAAAAGACCAAAATCCAAACATCTAAAAATTAAATAACACTGAAGGCCTAGGCTATCCAAACGGAAGAAAAATGCTTCACTGACAAGCTCGAGTTGCTCTTTGTTTCATACTCTCGCGATTTTCTGACAGCTAATATATATATATATATATATATATATATATATATATATATATATATATAATTTATTATATATAATGTGTGTGTATTATATATATTTCATTTTATGCTGTTTTGGTTGAAGATCAACGGAAGTTCTTTACGATTTTAACCTAATTCCCATACATTCTAGTAGTTTGTCATATTCAGGACTATGTAATAAAATCAGAAAAAAGACAATATGGTTTAACCCACCTTTCTGTAAACTGTCTAATATAAATATTGGCAGATATTTTCTAAATTAATCAACAAACATTTTATTCATAACAAATAATAATTCAATAGAAAAACTCTAAAAATCAGTTACTCCTGCACTAACAACATATATAATATTATTAACTCACACAACAACCTATTATTAAAAAGATTTTATGACAGCAACACACCAGAAAACAAACCTTCTTTTGATTGTACAACTGAAACTAACTGCCCAGTTGGAGGTATTTGTAATTGGGAAAATGTGGTATACCAAGCTACCATTTTTCCTAATGAAAATATCGATGAAAAAATACACACACACACACATATATATATATATATATATATATATATATATATATATATATATATACGAACAGTAAGTTATATAATCTGGTTTTCTGATAGATATTTTTTATTTTTACAAAATAGTGCTTAATGTAAATTTACAGAGCATTAATATTATAAATTAAGTGATTTAAAATGTTTTTCGCTACACAGCTCTAACCATGTTTCAAAAATGGAAGCTAAAAGCTTCGAATTTAAATTTGTAATTAAATTAAAGACATTAGTTCCATTTCATCCTGAAGAGAATTTTGGAGTAACTTATTTTTAAATTAAAATATAAGTTACTCCAAAATTCGCTTCAGGATGAAATGGAACCAATCATTTAAATTTATATTTATGTTATAACTTTTAAATAAATAATTATATATATATATATATATATATATATATATATATATATATATATATATATATATATATATTATTATGTATAGTTTGCATGTGTTTCTGTTTCCCTTTTTATTTTGTTAAATGCTTGCCTATCAGCCAAGCTTTGCCCTTTATTTATTGACTCATCAGATATTCCGTTTAATTCGTGTCTGCCTGACAACACACAGTGACGGATACGAACGCATTCCCTGATTGAAATTTGTCTGTTTCACTGCTGGTTTGTTCCAGTCCTTCGCCACGTTATAATCAGCTTTCGAAATCGATTCGCCACAGAATGAATCCTTCTCAACATGTCTTCTAAGTCTCTTCGTGAAAGCATCACGATGTTGTTCTTCAGTTCTAGCGATCACCTTTCCCGATTCTCCATTTCTGCTTTCGATTATTTTTTCAGTCGTAGATAATTGAAACATTTCTTCAAACAGTATTTGTCAACCTCGATTGAACCACTTAGCAATTTATACACGCACGTATCCACTAAAGCATACGTCCGTAATCAGATGAGGAAAAAAGCATTTATTCTACACAGCAAATATTTATTTTTAATCTGTTTCACTCCAAGCAAGGCAGTAAAGCCACTAAGACGCAAGGAGTTACCGAGTGTGGAAGAATTAAGAATGCAAACATTACTAATGAGCGGAAAGAGAAAAGATTATCAGGAAGCGAGTAGATAGCGATTGGCATTTCATTTCTTTTTTTCAGATTAAAGTTGAGTGGAAAACCTGAAGCCGAAAGGGATTTCCACAAGCGAGAAAATGTTAGTATAGAATTTACGGTTGCATCTCGCCAACCCAGCTATAAATTGATGAGAACTCAGATCCATTCTAGTTAAAATAAAAAAAATAAAAAAAGTTAAGGTACCATAACGAAAAGCTCATCCGAAGTATTTATAAAAAAAAAAAAGGCAGGGGGGGCAACTTTACGGCGATGGGAAAGTGATAGAAGTCAGAACATAATTTCATTATATACACTATTTACATCCAGACTATTTTCATCAGCTTTCTTTTTTTTATCACCACGCTTTGGCCGTTGATGTCTCCGGCCTTCATCAGGTGTGTACTGATCCGAGTAACCTACAAGGAATTCCGAATTAAGCACTTTATTTAATCTATGGAAGATCGACTGTTCTCGTTCCACTGCTCATGTCTAGGGATATTTCGTCTAGTTCTATGTTTTTCGTACTGCTCAGTTATTTCTCGCCCTATTTTCACTAAGTTAGAGTACACACTGCCTGGCTCGAAGATTGAACTCACAATGTATTATGACAGCAAATTCACGAACCAACGCTTTAATCCTCTATGCCACGTCACAATAGCCTAGATGATTAAAATATTGGTTCGTGAATTTACTGTCAAAATTAGCATAATTTCATTATTACACTTTATAAAGTGATAAAACTTCATCTCAAACATTGGACATTCTTCTTCGATGACCTGTGTTCCTTCAAGACAAGGGCGATCGTGTTTCTACACAACTTTCTACTTTTGTAACTTTTAACAATAATTGTCCTTTTACTATTCCTCCTACTCTCTCTGTTGATATCCATTTACACAACCTCATTAGGAAGTTTACTCGGTGTTTACATCTGTCCACCGTACCTTCTGTATATCTTCTGAGTCAAATTTACCAAGCCTTCTTTTCGTAATAGGTGTCATATAAATTTTCTTTCAGATTCTAATTCGCCATTTTGTATACATTTTCCTTAAAATTTCCTCGCTTCTGATATCCTTCGTCTATGTTATTATCTTTGTTGTTTCAACTCTTCTCTTCATATGTGACAATATAGTGTTATATAAAAGAATTTATAGTACACTAGCTGAATTAACCACATATTTTTCTAAGAAAATAATCGATTTTATATCATTGTCATATTTTGTTGAGAAAAATGATGCATTTCAATTTACCTTAAAC